CCCAGAAATAAAAAGAGGGAAGGCAGCAAATCAGAATGTAGTCTGGCACAACCAGGAGCAAGAGAAGGGCCACACAGAGCTGCCAGTGTGTTTAGTGGCCAATGAGGTGCCGTAGCAAACAGGCGCTTGCTGCTGACTGATGTTGAGAGGCGTGTTTGTTTTTCAGTAACCTCTATGGAGGGGCACATTTTGCTGTCACCAATGGAAGTAAGGTCAGAGATAAAATCTTGCTAATCGTTCTGCACGGGAGAGTAATTGCCTATCCAAGGAAGGCACAAATTCTGCAGCCAGCTCTACCACAATGTCTCTTGCAGGCTTGGCAGCGGCCGTGCCTCCTCTCAGAGCCTCTTTTTGTAGCAGGCTGCCCTGCGTCCTTGCACCGAGCAGCAATGAGCTGCCCGCCCGCTGCTGCTGATCAAATAAGTTCCCTTCATACTCTCCTGCAGGATTAGTGCGTGCTCACAGCTCGGGGTATACACACAGTGCCATTTTTAGCTCCTGAGTTCAGATCTGGCAAATATAAAAAGCCTGTAAGCTAATCTATGTCTGATTGCAGGTGCTGGGCACTGGGGCTGAGCGCAGGAGCCCTGCTGTGCCGCGTTCCTTCTACATGAAGGACAGAGAGCAGAGAAGACAGAGCCGGGCACATCTCCGAGATGCACGGTGCAAGGAGCAGCAGCAGGCAGGAGCTAATGCGTGGGATGTGCAGGTTAGGTGTAACGGAGAAGCTTCTTCACCCTGAGCACAGCCAGACACTGAATAGGTTATCCACAGAGGCTGGGGGATCTCCCCCCTGCCTGAAGGTAGCCCCGAGCCAGCTGCCTGAAGGTGGCCCTGCCCTGAGGTGGGAGCTGGGGGTCCCTGTCCCTGTGCTGTGCTACACGAAGCGAGGGGCAGAGGCTCCAACCCTGCCCATGCATTACCATTGTATTTTCATTTGCTAGTGATAGACCTGTGACACAGCATCTTGTCTGCAGCAGTCTGTGGAGAGGCTCGGTGCTTGCTGTGCCTGAGTGCAGCAGCCTGTGTTCCTTGGACTAAGCCAAGCTATATTTCTGTTAGATTTGTATTTTATTTTGAAGAATTACCATGTAACAACGGGCAGCTGTAACAGGCTGCCTAGTTCATATCAGTTAAGCTTTTGAAACATATTCAGGTATCATTTAAGTACTGCTGTGTAACTCCTCGTTTAACCTGACATACTCTGAGTTAATCGTGTTTCTGCAGTTGTCTATGTCAGTACTTTAAAGCAAATCAGTGTATTTTTTTTTTTTTGCAGACTGTCAGTTATGTTAAGCTTCCAACTTTACGTAGATTTTGTACTTAACCCCCCTCAGTTTTACAGTTAAATGTCTTCATTATTTTTATTATAAATTGAGTGAAGCTTATTTATTTGAACCTTCCTGTTACATTTGCAGTCAGACCCAGTACCATTGGCCACGGCCCACGAAACTGTGAAACTAATTGTAAAGTGAGAATGAAGCTAGATTGGTGAATTACTCGTGGTTATAAAATGCAGTGAGTAGCAGCATCAGAATAGGATTAAAGCTGCTGAGGCTGGGGGAGGAATCATGAAACTACAGCTGGGAAACCTCTGTGGGAACATCACCTGAAGATGTTTCTGCACCAGTTCCCCACTTGGCCAAGTTCAGGAGCTGTCCTGAGACAGAGAGTTTTGTCTGGGGCCTGCGTGCTAGTCGGTGTGTTGCAGGCATTGGTTTGGTATGGGTGCTCTGTGATGCCATTTCCTTAGTGCTAACACATCTGAGGCAACTCTGGATTACTGTGAAGCTTTTATTTAACGCTCCATTGCGTGGGAGTTGGTATCTGAACAATCGTTGGTTTGACGGAGGTGAGGGCTGAGGAAGCAACTGCGTGACACTAACAAAACGGGATGGTGCAATTCTCTGGAGGACAGCTCTGGTTTTGGCCCAGAGTGTGCTTGGGGAGCAGTGGAGCTGCTGGCTGTTCGGCCCCTGGCATAAGGCAAACACCTCTTGGCTCCCTGAATTTTGTGCCTGGGGAAGAAGCTCTGTTGGCAGAGAGCAAGTGCCAGAGAGATATTTGAAAGTGCAAGGGAACGCTGTCATTAAATAACACACACTTGTTGTGTACGTAGAACTGCTGCTGGTTAGGATGAACTGAGGAGCAAGAGGGATCCTCTGTGGTGGAAACTGAGGATGAGAACCATGCACAGCTCCCTGCTCCTGCGGTCACTTCTCCACCGCCTGTAACACGAGGTGAAGCCCTGTTGTAGCCCAAGGTGCTCTCTGCCCCCACCTTCCCCCAGCATCACCCTCCTCTTTCCTGTACAACACTGTGAATGACACCAGTCACTCTTTTCATGCTCCCATCCAGCTTGCTGGGAGCATGAAGTGCTGCCCTACGTGGTGATGCTGGGGGAGATGGGGCTGAGGACTCTGTCTGCACACAGGGACAGCTGCAGCCCAGCGCTCCATGCAGAGGCGTTGGCGCACAGTTAACGACGTAAGCAGCTTTGTGTAGCAATTTGCTAATCACGCCTGATTTCCTAATGAACTAAACTGACAATCAATTTCTAAAATATAAGAGCTTCTTGGAGGGAATAGTCAAGGATGTCTTCACCAGGAGGATTTAACTGGGATAACTTTATAAAGAGCACAGGAGCTTTTCCGTTCTGTATCTGAGCAATCACTCCAGAAAGCGTGTTGCATTAAGCAGCAGAGTCCCAGGACAGTAACTACCTCTCTCTCTCTCGGAGTGCTGAGGTTGCCACGCTACGTGCTGTCAGCAAAGCATTCACTTTGGAGTTGTTTTCCTTACCTCCGTGTGGCAGCAGCACAGGGGGGCTCTAGAGCAGGGAAATGGCACTGGGGAGCACCCTGCAGTGCCAGCAGCTCTCTGTGAGCCCCGTGGGTCTGTATGTCACAGCGAGGCTCCCAGGGTTACGTGCTCTGCACTGGGAGGGATGGAGGGCGTGAAGGTGAGGAGGACCCACCTCCCTCCCACCCCAAGGGAGCAGGCAGCAGCAAAAAGCAATAAATTCAATAACAATAACAACTTTTATAAGTCGGTCATTACTCAGCAGATGTGACTCCCTGGTTTTATGTCTTGTACAAATATACAGGGAGCAGATCTGACCTGTGAAAAGGTGCCATTTTTTTTTTTTTTAAATTTTTTATTTTTAATTAAACAGAGTCCCTTTCCAAACTAGAACAGCACTTTAAAATAGGTTCCTCTTTAAGAAAAAAAAAAAAAAAAAAAAAAAAAAAAAAAAAAAAAAAAAAAAAAAGAAAAAATAAAAAAAGAAAAACCCTTTACTGAAGAAATGCACTTTAACTGGTAGGTGAGCACGGCTGCTGTTGAGGCGGCCGTCCCGGCGGAGGCTCGCTGTCAGCCAGAGCCCAGGGAGCAGCACTGCCCAACGCACGGTGCCCGCGTGCCCGCGCACTACTGCAGCTCTACCTCCCACTGCGTGCCCCTGGGCCTGTGCTGCTGCAGGAGTCCCACCCGAAGGCAACAACAGGATGGGGCCTGTTGCAATCCGGTTGTAAATCGGTCACAAAAACAAAACCCGCCACCACCTTTGCCTGTAGGGAGAATTTAACCCATTTACAGTAGGTCAGACGGTGCCCCCGGGTCCAGCGCAGCACAGGGCTGAGCTAAGGTGAGGCTGTTCCTGGGGGTGTGAGGTTTTTCATATTGTGGATATGGAGCCCTCAGCAGTTGAGTATTTAAAAATAATAATAGTCCAAGTCCACGTGTCCCCTGTTGATTCCGCTCAGAGCTGGGTTGCAGAGTAAGCATTTGTAAGAGAAACTGTGCTGTCACCATCGACTCTTGGCTTATAACTCAAACGCGTAGGACACACGTCCTCACCCTCAAGACTTATTCTCACACTTAAGAAAATTTCCTGCTGTACTAATTATTGTTTATTTTTAATTTTATTCTTGGTTGCAATGAAAAAAAAGATAAAAAAGAAGTCTGTACTCACACTCGGTCTGCAGTAGGTTGCAGCGTGGTCCTGCTGTTCTCAGCGATCCCACCAGCCGTCCCCGTGCTGCTCCGTGCCCCATGGGATGGGCAGGGGCTGAAGTGTGAGCAGCAGAGCTGTGGCAGGGGCACAAGGCCGAGGTGGAGGGGTTGTGCAGTTGTACAATTGCATTTCAGCAGTTCAGCAAATAAGTGCTCTCGTCGGACAGCTTTAAGAACAATGTGAATGAAAAAATCTAGCGACTTGGGTAGGAATCTTTGAAAATTCTAGCAATGTATACTTGAACTTCTGTTTGTATCAAAAACAAATTGCATTTTTCTTCTTTCTTTTAACACGGTGTAAGAGAACATTATGCATGTGAGTGGTTTGAGAATTAAATGGTTTAGTACTCAGCTCTGTGCCTGTCTCCTGTAGCTGACTGCTCCTGCCTAGTGGGGTTTCCTCGCAGCCAGGCCGGGCACCTGCACACCGTGGGTGGCTGTGATGGGGGTGAGCCTGCCCAGCTTTCCCAGCTGTTTCCTTTCTCATCATCTTCAACATCCACAGTCCGGAACATTACTAGAAAGCTCACACAGATGCCCTACCAAATCCAGAGCAAATGGCAGCCCAGGGACTGCCCCCCACTCTGGTGTCAGCAGCAGTCTGCGCTCAGCTCTTCTGGAACTTGCACCAACAGCAGGACAAGACCGTGTTTTTTCACCACCTTTGTTATTTTGAACTCCGGCTGTAAATGCAGATTTCTCAGAGGACAGAGCTCGTTTAAAGCTCATTACTCAGACAAATAGCCTGAGCAGCCACGGCGAGGCTTTCACTAGTTCAGCACTTGGGCACGGCAGGGCTGCTGGAAGCAGAGCCCTGGTGCTTGGCAGCTCCTCCACCCACCAGCTGTATGCTGCAGAGCTGCAGAAGATGGCCCTGGCCCAGCATTGGTTGCTTGGCTGCTGCTGCTGCGACTGAGGAGTGTGGGAAAGGGCATGTTCATTGAGAAAGGGAAGGTTAAGCCTAGGAAGTGACTTAGTGAAAAGCGTCCGTTCAGAGATGAGTTTATTCCATACAGATCTACAGGCCTTAACGTACTGGAGGATCAGTTACAGTTTGATGCCTGAGAGGGAGGAGGGGTCGGATGCAAGAATGCCAGTGATACTGGAATGGCTGCCATGAAAATACCAGTGCCATTATTTAAAAAAAAAAAAAAAAAATCAGCTTCCTTTGAACGAGGGTTGGAGCGGAAGAAGGACGGCCCCTCCCTGCAGCTGGCACCAAACAGTAATACAGCCACCCCAGCACAACCTGGGTTGCATGGCAGTGCCCTACCATCCCTTTCCCAGGGGCAGGGAGGGGAGAGGTGAGGCTCGGGCAGCCTTTAGGAGCAAGGATCAGATATTCTGCCCATGAATATAATGGTGTTGAGGGCGGCTTCCCGGATGAAGAGCAAGAAGGGCCTGTTGGCCTCAAAGATAATTCTGTTCATGGGGAAGGAACGGCCAGAGATAAGAACAGATGTCGCTGCTGACGCCTCACTGCCTTCTTCATTCACCTACCAACCAGAAGAGGAGGAGGAATTAAGACACAGGCGTTAGGCAGCGTTTAGAGGGCTCTACATCCCTCCCCACCAATTTGAAGCACGAGGATGCACTGTGCTTCAGTGTCTCCTTGTGGAGACGATCTGTGTTAGAGCCACAGTCTTTTACATTTTTCCTGTTATGCTTCATGCTTTTAAAAAACAAAAAGCAAAACACATCCTGGGACAAAATGAAGCTTACCTCAATGAAGGCTTTGTGGAAAGCCTCAGATACATACAGGTCTGTACGGCCCTCTGCAACTATACCTGAAACCCAGAATAACAAAACAAGGAAATCAAAACCATGTTTTGAGACAGGAGCTCTAGATGCAAAACAGTCCCTCCCTTCATGGACAGCACTGAAACCCGGCAGGCACATCTGCCCTAAAATGAGGATATCCTCCACCAACTGCACGCAGTGTATTGCTCAACTCCCGTGCCCTCAGAGCTAAGCAGGGCTGTGTGCCCAGAGCGAGGGCTGAGTGCCGAGTCCCTCAGTGGTGCAGCATCACTTAAACGTGCTCAGTGTTCTTTTCCTCGCAGGCAGGTTGCCCCCACCCTCACACCTCACCTGGCAGCTTGGCGTTTTCTGGACTGAAGAGATCTTCCAGCCCCATTTTTCTCAGTTTCTCCTTGACGCTGAAGCTGTCCTCGATGCGGAAGCGTGGCAGGGACACAGTAAGGGAGACCTCCCTCATAGAGTTGATCCAGTCCTGCAGCTTGTCCGACGTCAGGTCTCGCTCCACCTCCACCAGCGGCGTGCCAGCTTTGGGCAAAACCAGCACCATGGTGATGTCGTCCCCTTTGTAAGGCAGCTCCAGCACCTGGACTTTGTCCTCCTGGATGAACGCATGGCGGAACCTGGACTCCTGGTACATGATGGGGACTTTGCAGGTCTCACCGTTGGCTTTGTGAAATAAATCCAGTCTCGTGTTTGGAGCTGGGAACTGTGACTTCCAGTGCCCCTGACAGGGAGATGATGAGGACAAAAGCAAACATGAGCAACGTCGCTGCCCCTTGGAAATTGGCTGCTCTCCAGCTTTGTTAGCCGTACCTTAAAATAGATGGTGTTGACCAGGACCAAGACAGTGAGCTCATCGATACCTTTTTCTGGGATCACTTCTGTAATGCGCCTCTCCGTCTTATTGGCTACCCACTCGTTTATGATCTGCCTGGAAAGCTCTGGCTTCTCCTGAAGGATGAGACCAAAATAGCTTAAGTGGAAGGTTATAAACACCTCCCAAGGGAGGACACTGTGCAGCACAGCACCGTTTAGAAAGGAGAAGCTGGGAAGTGACTGTGGTTACAGAGCTGGGACAGGAGAAGCTGCTGTCTGTCTTCACCAGTGTTCCCTGTGCTGAGCGTGGCACTCCCTGCAGCAGGGGATAGGGATGCAGCAAAAGCAGGACAGGGAGGAAAAAAAACAAACAAACCAGGCATCTCAAGCAGTTCAAACTCACTTTGAAGTTCAACGGCCAGAGTTTGGCTCCGTAAACTATTTCACTAATGTTCTGGTAAGTCTCATTGAAGACCAAGGATTTCTCTCCAAAGAGACGGTTTGCTGATACTAGCTCTGATGACTTGTTGGCTTTCTTGTAAAGACGGCAGTTGAGCTTGGCAAAGAAGAAGTGGACCTGGTCAGACGTCTTCTCTGAAATAGTGTCAAACTGGAAGACCTGGAGGGACCACAGAGGAAAAAGGAATCCATCAGCAGGCTCCTGTGCTCCAACAGCAAGTGGTGATGTAGCTCTTGCCCTCCACTCATCCCCTAAGGCGCAGCCTTAGAATAACAGAACCACAGAATATCCCGAGTTGGAAGGGACTCAAAAGGACCGTTGGGACCAACTCCTGGCTCCACACAAGGACCACCCAAAACTCAGACCCTGTGTCCAACAGCATCATCCAGGCACTTCTTGAACTCCCGCAGCTTAGCACTGTGCCCACTGCCTTGGGGAGGCTGTTCCAGTGCCAACCACCCACTGGCACAGAACCTACTCCTGATATCCAACCTGACCCTTTCCTGAATCAACAGCAGCCTGGCCTTTCCCCATGAGAGCCCTGCACCAGGTGGGCATGGCACTGATGGGGACAGATGCAGCTCTTGGGTCAGTGCAAGCCATGGGAGGACTTGCAGGGTTTGCTCTAATCCTGTGAGAATGCCGAAGGCTGCTCCTTCCCAGGAGTAATTCTCATGGTCTGTTGAGTAATTCTGCTACTCGTTATCTATTTTCAAGTATGTGGCAATTGTTTTGAGGGTAGATTGCAGCAGCACAGTGATTTTTTTCTATTCTGTTCCTAGCTGTCAGCTGGAAAGACAGCTCCAATTTGTCAGCTCCTATCCATCTCAGGGCTTCAGGCACAGAAAATCCCATAGCACATTGCTTATTATCTGCGGCATCACTTCCTATGAGAGGCAGAAGTGGGTGTTACCAGCCCTTCTGTAGGGAAAAGGAGAGTGTTGGGAGCACGGCCCAGGGAGAGAAGGGTTCCTGTCCCATAGCAGGGGCTGCCCACAGAGGAAGGCACACCTCAAGGTTTTGGTGGGTCCTTGCAGAGCTGGAACCCAAATGAGCCGAGGCCCAAGCAGCCTCCTGTCTCCCACCCAACAGCTGTTTAAATAAAAGCATCCCCTGCGTGCCAGCTGCCCAGGCCAGGCAGCCCCCAGCAGCCGCTGGCACCACCGGCTCCACAGCCTTCCAGGCCCCAGTAGCAGCTACAGGGAAGGCTGAGGAAACTCCACCGACCTCCATGAGCTGCTGCAGGGTGTCACCACACGCCCCGAGCTTGGTCATGGCGAAGGCTGTGGAAATGCTGAGGGGAGACAGGAAGATGTTCTCCTCGTTGTCCTTGGAGTCGGCCAGGTGCTTGTAGAAGACGACGGCGAAGCGCGAGTTGGCTCTGGACAGCTCCCAGACACGGGGGTTGGTGAACTCCGGGATCCTGCCCTTCTTCTCCGGCTCCAGCACCTCGCTTTCCTGGGGCTTCTTCTCAGGGTTGCGGTAGATGCAGATGGGGTTCACTGGGATGTCGCGGGGCTTCGCAGTGCAAATGTCTTCCACGGCATAGCGTACAGGGGCAGCCATGCCCCAGAGGCCGAAGAGACACACCATGAAGAGATGCATCATCCTGGAAGCAGAGAGTTTGCTGAGTGTGTGCCCGCCTGCCCAGGGAGCTCCTGGTGCCCCCAGCCCAGCCAGTATCGGGGCATCGGGACCCTCATGGTCCTCCTCCCATAGCCCTCCTGTAGTGCAGCTGTGGGATGGACCGGGACAGCCCCAGCAGGGCAGCACACCTCTGAGCACACCCTGCTTTTAGAATAGCACATTGGAAACAGTGCTTTCCTAGAGCCACAGGTGCCCTTTTTTAAGCAGACCTAACAAGCTGGTGCAAAAACAGACCAAAGCTCTGATCACTCTATGGGGAAGGCGTCAAAGTCCGCTCTGAACTGCATTCACATCTTTGCTTTGTACAGACCCTGCCCTGCTCCCTCCTGGGGAAGAGCTCCGTGCCCCAAGCTCAGCAGAGGAGTGCCCTCAGACACAGTGCTTTGGATGGTTTCCTTCCCTTTTTGCTGGGGAGACCTCCTTCTCCAGCTCTGTTTCCTTCTTTCCCTCAAATCCTTCTGCCCTTTCAATTTCTAGCTGTGCTTTCAGGCCCACCTCAGCCTTGCGCTGTTCTAACTACTGCAGGAAGCTCAAGCAGGGGATACACATCCCGCCAGCCCCAGCAGCACATTACTGGGCACCCTAGGGCTGATGAACACTGCATCCTAGAGATGTCCTCTGTGTAACTCCCGATGGGTTTGCTCATGTCCCCACAGCTCCTCTGGAGGGAGGCATGGGGAAAGACCCCATGTGCCCACCGCTGCAGCCACCTTGTGCTGCTCCTTCAGTGGCAAAACTGAAGGTTTTTTTTAATGACCGCTGGAGCTGCCAGCACCCAGCAGGGCAGCACAGGGTGATGCACGGAGCTCTGGGCTCTTTCACAACTCCCTGCCTGTGCTCTTGTGCAATGGCTGAATGATCTTCCAACCCAGATCAGTCTGTGACTTCATCTGGGCTGCAGTTCTTCCATGAAAGCAGAAATTACCTCATTTGGCACTGGGGCTGTACCGAGCCTTGGGGGCCCTCTCCAGCACACTGTTAGTGCAGCAGCAAGCACTGCAAGAAGACGTGCACAAGATGCTCTTGCTCTTGAGAACACGGCCTCTCTGAGTGGTAAAAGCAAACATACTGTTGCAAGAATATGAAGGACAGATGCATGGAACAGCTGCAGCAGCACAGAACGCAAAGCCTGAAAGGGGTGGGAAGTCAAATAGACTGACCCTGCAAGCACCATGGCAGGCAGGAGGAAGGGAAGCACTCTGGCAGTTGGGAGCACCGCAGGAAGTGGCACTGTTCCCTACTTCCAGCTCCTGCAGGGGAGGGAGCTCAGCCCCACACCACTGCACTGCATGCCCTGCGGTTGGTGCTGAACATCCCACAGCTTGTTCCGGCTTTAGATTCCATCCGTTCGGGGGGATGTGAGATTTCACACTCTTAGCCCCTTCAATCTGATGTATCAGCTCCTTGGGCCATCCCAGCCCCCCAGCATACCCAGTGCACACACACACGGTGGGAGAGGAACACAAGACCCACAGGGCTGCATGCCGTACCACTGGCTGGGAGCTGCCCTGCTCCCCCAGCAGCTCCTTGGGCCTCCCTTTCGTACTGTCCACACTCCACGCATCAGCTGGAGGGAGTCCAAAAGTATTACAGCAAATGGCTGCCTGGGAAGGGTTACTGGCAAGGAAGAGCACACAGAGGGGGAAGGGCTTGGCTGTCCTGTTTCAATCACCTCTGTGAGAAGCACAGAAAACCAAGGAACAAGTTGCTGATTCAGCTAAAAAACAGAGGGCTCCATACAGATGTGGGGACCCCCAATCCCACAGCCAGGCTGCTGCCAGCACAGCCCATGTGTCCCCCCACAGCTTTGCCTTCATCCCACAACAAGCGTTGCACTCACCCCTGCTACCTGCCCTGGCAGTCCTGCAGCACTCCTCTGAGCCCAGCAGCTCACCCTGATTAGAGATCAACAGAAAACCCTTCCCTACTGCTCCCCTCCCCCAGACCGGTGCAGAGCAGACCAGGGCTGCTCCTACGCAGCCAGGCCAGGGTTGGTGCTCACCCAGGACAACCCAGCCTACACAGCGGTCGCCACAGCATGAAGCAGTGCCACAAAGAAATAAGATGAAGCACAGTCCATCAGTGAGCTGGGCACAAATTACTCCTCGATGGGAACTGTGATGTTCTAAGCTCCCCATGTCCTGGGCAGAAGCCCCACGTCCAGAGCAGCAGCAGCCTGAACTCCTTCAATAGGAAAATGGAGCTGTGATTCGGTTGAAAACAAAGCATTAGCAGAAGTGGTTTCTCTTACCCGGCCTGGTGCCTTCAGCCTCCTGTGTTCTGGATGTAAATGCAGATCCCCAGGAGGACAGGCAGTGCTCAAGCCCTAGGCTCCCAGAGCAGCTCCACACTGGGCTCCAGCAGCGGGCAGGATGGGGGCAGGATGCTGGGGCCAAAGGCTGATGACCGCTGCAGAAGGTTAAACAAAGAGCAGGAAAACAAAAAAGCAATGTTTGGCTTGAAAGAGGTTTTAAAGTTCAATCTGACAAGGGAAAGTTTGACCACCTACCCCTTACAAACGTAAGGTGCCTTCCTTTCTTGCCAATAAAAAAAACAACTGCTCGTGAAAAAGTTTTCCAGAGGTCACTCAATCCCAACCCCTGAGGTGTCTGTGAATCTCACTCTGGTACCTCATTGCTCAGCAAAACGCAGCTCTCAGGAGCAGCGCTTGTGGTCCCAGGCTGCAGAGGAGGGCCTCCAAAGCAAGGCTGCGTTACAGCCCAGGGCCATAAGTACCACCTGGAAACTGGCTGTGCCCAACACGTCAGTCTCGCACACGTTCTTGCTCTCACCCATCCTCCAGCAGGGCTGTCTTTGTCCAAAGTGAGCACAGAAGCCACACGGTGCCCTTTGAGCAGCACCCAGCAACTCCAGGCGAGCAGCGCACTGCAAGGAAGGGCTCAGCTGTGCTGCTCACAGTGCTCCCAGCAGTGCTGGTGTAACCACTGAGGTAAGGTCTGCTCCCAGCCCCAGAGCCTTCAGAAGGGATCGCCTGTTCTCTGCTCCCAGCACAGCAGTGTGCTGCACCCAAGCAGGGGCTCTTCATCCAGTGCTGAGGGTAGCTCTATGCCACGTGAAACAGGGGCAGGCACCCACTGTGTTCTGCACATCCCACGCAGCTCAAGCTACAGGATTCAAGGCTCACCAGCGTGATGAGGCACAGCAGCACTGCAGCTATGCACTCACTGCAAACAGAGGCAGAATGTCTAAAACAGAGCAAGGGAACAACCCCTTTACGATGGTGGCCCTATTAGCAGCGAGGCTAATTGCAGAATGCAAGAAGATGGCAAGCTGGGGGCTTCCTCTAAGTATTTATTCCCAAACCCAGCATAGGGCTGAAGGGATCCACCAGTTGCCCAAGCCATACTCCACAGGGGAGCTGATAAATACCTATCTTGAGTGCAGTAGGTAAGTGGCAATTTATTGCGGGTTCAGCTCAAACTAACAGCTCAGCACTGGCTGGGCAGAGCCACCCCTGAGGAGGCCAGAGAAAAAAAACAGCAGGTTTCCCCAAAGCTCCCCATTCAGTCCCTTTGATCAGACTCTGCAGCAATTCACTTTTTTTTTTTTTTAATTTTTTTTTTTTACAAGCAAACTTCCACAGAAGTTCAAGCTGGTTTTAAGTGTACCTGAACATCCTTGAGCCCTCAGACCAGTGGGGAAAATGAGAAAGGGAACCATTGCCTGCAGAAACACCCAGTTTCCACATGATTGCTTACCAAACACAACTCTCTTCATAGAAACCGAATGTCTCAAGTGACCCAGTGAGAGGCCAGCTGTGTGACTGCCCTAAAGGCAGTGAGGACAGCATTTGGTGCTCACTGCATGCTGGACCTCCAGTCAATTAGCAAAATGGGTTATGTTGAACATTCTTTCTTGTTGGAAGGAGCGACCTGGCTTGCAGGCAGGCAGAGAACAGACAGCCCATAGAAGCAGCTGCTTCTCTGCCATTCAGCATCTCTTATGCTCCAGCCCCAAGGAGAACCAACACCTTGGTCTGAACCCATACGCCATCAGGACAGCACACCCAGAGGAATGCACATTCATCCGAGACAGAAAATGAGAGATATTTCAGTGTTCTCCATTAATTTATCATTTAATATAAATGCTGACAGAAAAGCAGATAAGACCTTGTAGACACTTCCATCTATTTACAGACCAAGTAGTGAATCACCACCTTTCCACCGGTTCAAGTGTTTGTTGGATCTGCAACTCAAAGGACTCTCAGACACTGAAAGCAAGGTGAGGCTGAGCCAGCTTGAACAGGGAGAAAAGCAAAGCAAAGAGAGGAAAGGAAACAGCATTTCAACATAAGGCTTCTTCCATGTCACCATCATGCACACGCAATAGGTCTCCGCTTCCTTGCTCTTTAACACAAGTGACACGTAGGCTCTGTACTTTAAGAAAGAAACAGGGAGACAAACACTGACTTTCAGACCTCTGGACCTCCCTTGCCTTTTGCCTCCTTCAGCCCGCTCCGTCCTACTGCAGCACAATACCTGGCAGGCTGTTCTTCCCACCATAAGAAGTCTATTGCAGGAGTAAAGACAGTCAGATACAGCGACCTCTCCTACTCCTTTTGTCACCTGGGTTTTCCCAAAAGGCAGGAAAGCACCTCATGCTTCAAGGAGAGGTATTGCAGTGCCCGCAGGCTCAGTGTGTGTACAAGGCTTCCAGCTTCCCCAGAACTTGCAAAGAATTCACTTGATGGAACTCTTCTCATAAGCTCTACTTCATCTCTACTTCTATTGAAAGCGTCCCGATAGATACACACAGCACATATTCACAAAATCACTCCAACAGTCAGCCATCCACATAAGGCTTAAGAATTATTATTTTTCAATGGGAAAGCGAAGCAGGAAAGAAAGAAAAACAGGGGGAGGAAAAAAGCAAGAACAGAACCAGCTCAACACATGGGAATAACGACGCTTTGTTTAGCAGTGACTTATGAGAACAGCAGACAAGGAATTTCACTTATCCAAAATCCTAAATAAATTCAAGAAATAGTTCATAACCTGACTCAACAAATCTCATGGTCTCCTTTATTACCTAGACTATCCTTTTTATTTTTTGTTAAATATACCTCTGCAGGGCACAATCACATACAATCAATACGATTGGAAAATTACATGAGCTCTATCCCAAGCATATATGCACCAATGTTAAAAAGTTATTTAAAAAACCAAACAAACCAAAAAATAAACTCCACCCAAAAAGGTGATAATGACTGCAGTATGTCTCGGGGAGACCGGTACAGAACTAACAAGATCAAAAAAAAAAAACCAAACAAACACCTAGGCTTACAAAAACAAGAGAAAAAAAGTCATCTATAGAGAAATCCCACAACTGGAAGCAGATATTTCCAAGAGGAGCTGGGAGCTGTTGCACTGACCGTCCTGTAACTCTTCCTCTCTCTTCTCACGAGTGCTTTGCCTCACCTCTTCCTCCCCATAGCAACAGCTACAATGAGGAAGGAGCTCCTGACACTGTGTTACTGGGTATAGAAAACGGGGAAAATAATCAAGCTACAGCACAGTTGCTAAGCTGACTTCAAGGAAAGCTCCTCTTGGCACAGAGGCTGCTTACACAGCAAGCAAAGGCCAAAGGGGTAACGGGAACTCCTTAGAATTAGAAAAACCAAGCCGTCTGGTGTGCTGGGTTTGTCCACGTTACAGCAGCTTCCTGCAGAAGGGGCTGCAGATAAAAGGGGCCAACTGTAAACTCTGGAGCAGCTGTGATGCAAACAGGGTTTCCACTCTGTTGCTTTACACATCTCTAAAGTGCTGCTACCAAGTTTTATTTTAAAAAGCTGGAAATGAAGAGGTCAGTGCACACGTCCAGTTGTGGGATTCATCCAGTACACAATCTGGTTCGGATGCCAAAGACTTGTGAGTACGGCCTGCCACAGAACTATCCATAAATCCATTGAACAGTACAAAGAAGCAAATCATTTCTTAAACATCAAATACTCCACAAGGTTGGTTTTTTTTTTTTTTTCCTTACACATATATTTTCTCCCATTCACATTTCATACGTAACCCCATTACCTGTAATGCGTTGTGTTGTTATTTTGTCAGAGACACTGCACCACCTGTTACTTCTGTTTTTCTCAAGGCTGTGTTTCCTCCACTTGAAGCTGATTTTTCCTAGAACTCTCTTGTTTCCTGGAGCAGGAAAACATCCAACTGTGTGCAGGATGCAGCCAGGCACCTAAACTGCCCAAAATGCTGAACACTTTGGCAATCTGCACTAAAATCATATGCCAGCTCACTGAAATTGCAAAGATTGACTGGGATAAATAGTTAATTATTTACATTACTAAGCTACAAGACATCCAATTTTGATTACTATGGTCACAGATTTTAAGCTTCTAATGACTGGGATGTTTCTGATGTAGAAAGAAGAGGATGCAGAAAAATCCAAATTCCCACACGCTCTTTTTATTAGGAATTTTCAGAAAAAACTGCACCCTCTTAACTTACAACAGCGTTCAGAGTTTCCACCACTCCATGTTACTCTTGCCATAAAAAATAAATAAATCAGTATTAAGTTTGTTCTCCTTTCCCTGCTAATCAAGACCCTACCTGCATCACAAGAAGTGCCTCACAGACAGTGACAACACTGAGCTTCCTCCCACACAAGAGTAAAGACCATTTATTAACTAGGTACGGGGACACGGCTGGGATAACGTTCCCCTGAATTGTTTACTTACATAACTTGAGCTGATTTACTCTTCAGCCTCTTTCTTCCTCCTTTCAGTAGGAGTTAATGCACTTGGTAACAGCTGAGTGTGGAAAACAGAATCCCCAGTGCAGTGTTTGACATTCCAAGCTATGCTTGATCTGAGAAAGATCAATCTGTGCTGCGCAGACTGCGTGCTCGGGTACGGCAAGCAGCAGCCATCCAACTTCTAGCACCAAGGTCTGACCTCACTCTCCTCACATTCAGACTTTATGCAAGCAAGGCAGATGGTCTTTCTAATTCATGTCTAAACTCCTTTCTAAACAACTCAAGAACTTTGCTTCCTTTTTTTCACCCAGGGAAATTGATCTGTTGTCATACAAAAGGTTAAGCTGCTGACACTTGATTATTTTTTTTTAGCTCAGAGTAGGAGGTGATGTTCTGTAAAAATGAACAATGACCAAATCCCAACACGGCAGTGAAGTCACAGAAACAGCCAGCCTTGCTCTGTGTTCCTTCTAGCTATTCTAAGACTACGAATACTCCATCTGCACGTGGACACAGCACTTGCACGCTGCTGACACGGGTTTTCTTCGTTCCTCACTTTAGAACAGGGAAGGTGAGTCAGCACTCCTGCTGCTGAGCCTCCTGACTGTTAGCTCTGAATTTGTTGGACCATACAAGTAGGCGTGAAATAGCT